CACAGGATACTGGCAAACCAGTGAATGGCCCCACGATGGAAAAATGGCGGTGTCCATTAAAAAGCGTGCCAAAATGGTCTGCAGGCCCCTAAGGAAAATGGCGCTGGCCTTATTTATCTTTTTTAGGCACAAACACAGCAGCAGCCTCTGCCACTCAGGCCATCTGATAAAAAAGCTACTGTGTGACTGAGTGGTGAGGAGGGGATAAGAGAGGCCCTGATGCCCCCACCCCCTGCGTTCTCCAAGGGGAGGTAATCACCACTGGTGAAATAAGCACGCTTCCTTAAAAGCGGCTTGCAGGTCAAATCACAATGGCAAGGCAAAGGCATTTGGCACAGAAATGTAAAACAGCGTTCTCTCCCAGAGAAGCAACTGCTGTGACCAGGGAAATCCCAAAACCCCTGAGACTGCTAAAGTGGCCAGATCGCCAAGGTGATCTGCTTTCTGTCATTCCAATTGCTTTCATGCCAATTGCAGTCGGAATTTAGTAAATAGAAACCTAAATTTGGAAATCTGCTCTGATCAAACTAATTCAAACCTTTAAATCCTGCTCTGGCCAAGGATAAGCTGCCTATCACACCAAAGGCTGAGCTAAAACTGGGGGATGCTAGGGAGGAGCCAGGGAGGAGCAACAGCATCCTAACAGTTAAGCCCAACCTATCCAAGAAGAGACTAAGCACCTCCCACTCTCTGGATGCTCGGAGCAGCTCAATGGAGAAAAGGAAGATTGGGTTTATCTGATTTGAAATTGAATTTTGCAGCTTGCTATTTGGTCTCGATGAAAGAGTAGATGTTGGTTTTTCTCCAGAGCAGCCGCATTACATGGTATGGAATCCCAGGGCTGTTATCCTCCATAGTACAACCTTACTTGCCCACACTCCATAATGGCCCCTACCAGCCCATCCACAGTTCTTACAGCCCACCCATACTCAGTAGCTCCCACTGGCAGCATTCATCTACCCATTTAAGCTCTTGCCTGTTGGCTTGCTTACACAGAACTCTAGTCTCTGGGTTACAACAACCACCAGGACTGCTGGGATTACTGTGCTAAATAATACAATCATGTGACACCATGCTTTAAGACTACACTAGTGGACTTCCTGTGTGCATAATAATTGGGTGCACAGAACTTCACACAATTATTAAAATTCCTTTACTAGAGATTCTATCATGTAAATTAATATGGACATGTTGCTTTCCATTAAAAAAAAAACCAGCTATCGCAGTACCAATATAATGCCTATAATAGTTATTAATAAGCTATATTAATTACAATCCTTGTTTATAGTGAACTATTTCAACAATAAAACAATAGCATGAATAGCCGTCCCTCAGTGATTATACATTTGAGAAATTATCACCATCCAGATTGATTAAGAATGAAACGGAAAGAAAAAGAAAGGAAAGAAAGAATATCCTTTGTCAACAGAACTGTGGTTATCTTAAAAGTGTACACAATTGTACGTTATGCAAAGGGGCTCCATTCACTTACTACAATGCCGCAGCCATACTAGTTCAATCTGAATGTTAAAAGGGGTTTTTTGTGTGCAGTGCACATGGACCGAGCCTTCTTTGCACCAGAGTGAACTGACCACTTCACTGAGTTGGCCCACTTGAATGCCTTTTATTCATACAAATAGGGTAAAATGTATTTATCATAAAAATGAACACCAATGCAAGCCAGTATTAAAACCTAAATTAGAAAAGACTTGTTAGCTGTTATATAGAATATTCTTTTCCCATCCATTTACAGTATTATGAAATATCTTATTTTGGGGTATGGAATTTGCAGCCAGTGGGCTTGATGCATCACACACTGGCCACACCCTCCCCCCGTTTAGCAAAGGGGGAAAAGTCACAATACGTCACGTGATGACATGATGCTGAGTTTGTCACCCCTGCATTATATCATCACTTTACTAAAAAAAAAAAAGTTCAAAAGAAAAGCAGAGTAACATCAGAAGAGAATCACAGATTGGAAGGATTCTAAACAGGAGCCAAAGCATGCTGGCTCCTATTAATTGTAGCATGCCTATCCAAATTATTTCAGAGATAAGCATGCCTCCTGCATTAGTCTGAGAGAGGGAAAAACAGAAGCATTTAGCAAGTTTCCCGTGAACTTGTTAGCCTGGCCATAAATCAGTTGACAGTATTGCTCGGGCTGAATGATGTAACTTAATTAGATAATGCTATGCAAAGAAAGTACCCCTTGCCTGTAACTCAGAGCTGTAACTTAACCAAGAAAAGCAGATCCATCAGCATGGATGCAAATGTCCAGTCCGGGCTTCATAAATAAAGATCTATTTTCAAGGCAAGGAATGAGGAGAAACCAAGAATGAGAGCACTGAAGAATGCTGGTTTACTAGTAGGAAGTAAGTTTCCCACAAGGAAGGGGAGCCTTAGATGGCCTACAGAGTGTGGAACCTTCCCTAGAAAAGCTGACACTGCTTCTTCTCCACTGAGATTGCACCCCTCAGCCCATATTAGCTGATTGTTTATTTTAACACGCAACAAACTCTCAAGTTCAGCATCTGAGTCCTTGTTTTCTCAATCAGCGGGTACCAGCATTGGGACTGAGTCATTATTTTCAAGTGGCTGACAGCTTGTTGATTCCCATAATACAAGATGAGGGTCTGCCAGGATTTTTTTCCACCGTTAAAATCAATATCTCATCTCCCCTGATCCACTTCAAGTGTAGAAACTTTCTCTTCCAGTCCCTCCACTTTCTCCTTCAGGTTACACTTGGAGAAGGAATAGTCTGACTCCTCTTCAGGTTGAAAGGCAATAAATTACATGTCATCTGCGAGTCACAATCATGCTCCCTTGGCTGTTCCTGTTGCTTGAAAAGCTTTCTCTGCAAATTTCCTAGCCAAATTTCTATACCAATCTTCCTAGTTAGTTTGCTGCTGCCTTTCTGGACAAGAACTAATCTGGAATGAAAGAAGATGGGAGGAAAAATGGGACAGAAAAAGAGATGTTCCCCTGACCTCCTGAGTGGCCGGCCATTCATTCATTCGTTCATTCATTCATTCACCTTGCAATCTGAAAACTGGTTCCATACTCTCCATGTGCTCTTGAGCTGCCTATTGATTAGTAGCAGCTAGCAAACAATCAGCAGTTACAGTCTGCAATCTCTCTTCTCCTTGGCTTTCTTTTCTATTCTGTCTCTTCTTTGCCACACTGTTTGGTGTCCCTGCAGTTCAGTCAATCTTTTCTCCCAAATATTTATTTCTTTTTACAACTGGCCTCTCAAAAGCAAAGAAATGATTTCCATAAGGAGTTCAGCATTAAATCAAAAACCAGGAGTCACAATCAACCAAGCTGAAAAAATGTGGTACCCTTATTGTCTCCCAAGCATGGCATCATGCTTTCAATAGGAACTGCATCAGAATATCCCTTGCTGTCTATTGCTATATTCCACCTATATTCCACTGGAAGTAACGCAATAAGGTTCTATGAGAGTTTAACCACATACATTTGAGATCTTGAGAAATAACAGCAGCAAAAACAGAGCAACAACATAGTCTTTTGCATGCTGTGTGGCAAGACAGAGTTACCCTTTTCTTTTTCGCCATTTAAAGGGAAGAATGCTGTTTTGCCATACCGAGGCCCTTCTGTTGGTTCTGTACTCCCTGGGAACACAAAGCCACCAGCAAGTTGGTTAAAAGAAAAGAATGAAACTAAACCAACTTTTGAAAAGTAACAGACATTGCCCCATAACCCCAAAAACCCCAGTCTTTGTCATAGCAGGGACCTGCCAGAGATTCTGCTCTCTAAAATAATTAATATGTATACAAACATACATGTGTGTGGGGGGGTGCGATCTCTCTAACTGTTATCTCAACTTTAGGGTGGGGCATCTCTAAGCAATAAACAGCTGGGAAGGTAAAGAAAATTTGACACATTAGAAAACAGCCCATTTTACTTGGGAAAGGCGGGGATATCATTGATGCATAGGAAAAATCAAATCATAGTAAATCCTGTGACATGAAGGTTAACTAACATCTTACAGAATAAACTTGTATAGACTAAATCCCACTTGACTAGTGATGCTACAGGGTTTCAGAGAACAATATATTTGTACGAATAGTTGTTTTGAATTCTCTCATTGAAAAAGGATCAGATGTCGTTCTATGTTTACACATGCGATGGACTCTTCATTCCATCCCAGCCTATTCTCATCTTTCATTTCCATGTGTTTCAAGATGTCTGCAATTTGGCCCCAGGATGGCAGCACATAAAACAGCTGGCTCATACTTTGAAAGCTTCTATAACATTAAAGAAAGCAGCTAAACAGATCATTGGCTGTAACATAGGAAATGCAGAGAATGTACTTAGTACACTACCTCTAAATATACTTTCTGAAGGAACTGAATCAGTTAGTGCCATCAATATTAAAGTAGTTCTTCCTATTTTGTTTTAAAGATACGAACAGAATATAAACCCTTATCGTTACATTTTACTTCTCTTTGATGTCCTCTGGTCGACATTCTCTTTTTACATTTTAAGGACCATTTCATATTATCTGAACATCTTCAAACATTTTTCAGTTATTTATTTCTGGGTAAGGAAAAAGCATGACTCTTAATCAAATATAATCATAATCTCCACATGAAAAATATTTCAGGTTACCCTGTAAAAAACCGGTTTTATTATTAGACATGAATTTTAAAGCAGTTTCCAAGCATTGCTGTCTTTTTGCAAGTTTGTTCAGTGTACGCTGTCACAAAATGCAACTGGGAAAAAGGAGGTGGGAAAAGAGAAAGGAGCCAAAAGAAAAAAAAAAAGAATGAACTCACATTCTCTTTGTGGGGAAAAAAGAATGGAAAAAAACTGATACATTTAGGAAATGCAGAGCCATTTCTGCAAATAAAGAGCATTTCATTATTACCTTTGGAAATGTTCTTCTTGGTTTTGTGACGGATTGGCACAGCAGTCATTAATACTGTTTTGGTAATTTGAGCCAAACTTTCGTTCCCTGAACTCTTTTGAAGATGTGAAGCCAAAAATATAACAATAATTAGTAAAATAGGACAGGAGACAGCCCTATCAAGGATCACACTGCCTACCAGCAGTGGCTGAAACAAAACTAAATTCTGAACTGGAATTATTTCAGATTAGGAGATGTACAGTTCAACAAGGGTGAGCTGGAATTATTTTTTATATCAATAATGCTACAATCATGCCACAGCTCTTAAAACAATTGCTTGAAAATATCACTGCAGTCTCAAATTAGTCAGTCTTCCAGGGAAGCATGTTGAACTGAATTTCTTTGCACAAACGTAGCTGTGTGGAAAATAGAAGCCACTGAATGAATCGGCTCCCCAGAATTCTTTCCTGATTAAGGAGAGGAGCTGGGATCACCCATAATGCTTCATAGAGATACTCCTAAACAACAAGATCATAAAACAATGGTTTCTAGAGGGTCTTAGAGCACTGGGAGCTGGGAGAATTGGCTTTGACCAAGCCACATTTCAAAGATACATTCATTGATTGATTTTTGGCTACTAAGAATCTTCAGAAGGATAAATTTTATTACATAGGACGATCTCTTCCAATCCTCGGTGGAAGAGCATTCATTAAATTTCAGAACTTAAAGAAAAACTTTGTTATTTGGAAATAAGTAGCACAACAGTAACTAGAACATTAATTTTAGAAAGTTTTTTAAATGGATTACGGGGCCAGATTAACTGGACATAAGATTATGAAATAATTAGAATAATTCCTGTACTTTTAAAATCCTATTAAAAATGCATGAATATTTTGAATTAAAGTTAAACAATCTTTCTCTAGGAAAATGTTGCAGATTAGAGAAAAACATGGTAATTTGAAAGCTACTTACTAGAGGAAGCCAGCAAAAATTTAAAATTATACAAAATAAGAGAAAACTATGCCATCTCTGGAAGAATTCAAGGATATTTATCAATAATTTACTCAGAACTTTCAGTTCGGATTGTCCTTTGAAAATGGATTCAAAAGAAGACATAGAAAACAACAGTAAATCAGGCTGTTTGGGATATGGATTTAAAATTGACAGGATACAGGAATGATATTGATAAAGATGTTCTACAGGCTTTACAAATGAAACTGATGGAAGTTTTATAGCTTAACACAAATAATGAGTCAGAAGAGTGACTTGGACAACTTTCTCACTTGGCACTTACAAAAGAGATGTGTTATACCCACAAAGGAGTTCCTGAGAAAAGATAAAGGAAGAATTAAAAGAAATCAGTTTCTGGGACACTACTGCAAAAGAATAAATACCCAGACTTTTAAAAGTGAAAAGTAGATTTATAAAGTTAATTTTTTTTTAACCAAGGTTATAACATGTATGATTTTCTTTTCTTAGCAGCTTTGATTTTTTTTCAATACAACTGAATAATGAGGCTTTAAAGATTTGTTATTAGATAAGATACCGGAAGAGAATTTTTGTGTTATTTTTATTTTTATTATTATTTTTTTAAAACCTTTATTGAGATTTGAAACATTAAAATACAAATAAATCTAAAAAATAACTTTGTACAATTATCCATCTTCTTTGACAGTACTAAAAATTCTTAATTATATTCGTACATTTCCATACATTTCTAATTAATCGCATATATATATATATGTATATAT